AATTATACATTTCTACATAGCATAAGTTGCATAACATAGCACCTAACGCCAGGAGGAGTGCAAAGATGAACCAAACGCCTGAACTCAAGATCCCCACTAAAGGCCGTCGCATTTGAAACTTGGCCCGTAATGTGCGGAATAGTAAGCAAATAAATACTAAATAAACCAAGTTATTACAAATATGGCATGTGGCCTTTCCGTTTTTTCCACATCCTAGCTATATGGATCTTGTTGCAAGAAAAATTTTTTTAATTATAATTTAGACAATTAGGGTGTATTACGGTCATTTTGTGCAATTTCAATATTATTCATGATCTAGGTGATTTTTAAGAGCATAATTTTTATATTAACTTAATATATTTAAACAAATTAATTTCTTGAAATATTAATTTTAAGATTTAACCTTTGAACATGACTTTATAAGACAACATTTTTTTTAACAGTGATCCAACACTTGAAGTTGTCTCATTTTAGGAAAATTTGATATCGTTTTGGCTTGGGAATCTAGGTTGGATTGAACATTATGTTCAAAAGTTCAAATTCATATGTAGTCATTGACAAGGATGAAGTTTGACCAAGATTTAAGGGGGATCAATTATTTTTTTTATTACACGTAAATATAGTATAATTATAATGTATATAACATAAAAGATGTCTCAACATGAAATATAATATTATGAAATTAAATTACTCTATTTACTCATGTTATAGGAGTTAATAGAGGAAATTTTACTAACAATGAAATAATTTAAATTAATAATGTCACAAAAAAATTATTCTAAAATTTTATTTATAATTTGATGATAATAAAATAAAATTATTTATTAACATAGAAAATGACACTATAAAATTAAATTTTCTTTTTCATGTTATTGACAATATTACCATTAATCAAAAAATGCATGATATATTGCGCGGTGATGCCTTCCACATTACAGTACCACTGGAGTAGCAGCTACATAATGACGCCATGTTATTGATAATTTTTTTTAAAAAAAAAAAATTCATGATAGTTGGCCACATGGGAAGATATGAGGTTTTGTTGATAAAATTAGGTTTTATTATTAAAATAAATTAAATTTAATCAACAAAAGAAATTTATTTTTACCTTTATTATAATTATAGAAAATATTAAAAATAATACTATTTTAAAATATGTATTTATTAATAATTGATATCCAATAACAATCACTAATTGATGAGTTATATCTATATATATTAATGTGAAATTTTTATCTTGATACTGTTGATATTGGATGAGTTTGATGAGATTTTACTTGATTTTATATAATTTTTATTCTTTGTGTAGGAAATGACTTAATTGGAAGAAATAATAAATTTTAGGAGCAAATTGCAAAGATCAGAAACTTGAGAATCAACTTGTACAGATCCAGAAGTCAGGGACCAGGACTGTTATTTTACCATTACAAAAATTGCTAAGAAGGCTAAAAACCCGACACGGTGATTGAATTGAGCGCTTAACAGAAGTGTCGGCACCTTGTTGAAAGTGTTGACGTCTTACGTGATTTTCACCAAATCCATGTTTAATTAGGTATTATGAGTGTGGGTCTCACTTCTATTTTAATTAGAGTTTCTAAAATTTTATAAATATTCATCCAAATTCAGAATTAAAAAAGCTTGGCGGAAGCTGGTGGCAGCCCTCTTTTGAGCATTCTTAAAAATCAAGAGAGGATTCAACAATAAGAGATCAAGAATTGTAATTTTCTTCAAATGAGTTTTATTTTTCCTTGTTATTCTTATATTCATAATTATGATTTTAGATTTTATTATTTTTATTATAAACTAATTTATTCTAGTAGGGATGTAACCTGATCAATTCAATATAAATTTTGTAATTTTATACTGTTAATTAAAGTTATTTGCACGAGTAGTTTATATTATTGAATTTAATGCATTGAAAGCCTGATCACCTTTCGATTAATTTAGTGATTTATGCATGAATTTGAGAAAGAATTGTGTAAATTAGACCAATAATAATATAAACTGTGTATTAGACTATTGAATCGAGAGGTAATTAATTTACATGTAGTGGAGGAAGAGAATAGAGTTAAGAATTCCCTCTTCTTACGTTAGTGGTTTTCATAGAATTTAATGCTTATTACCTTGTTTAAAATTACATAAAAATATGATTAATTTAATAAATAAGTGAAGGATTAACTTAAATTGAGAAAACTAGTTAATTAATTTAGGGAAATTCCCCATCACATGCAATAACACTAAACAAATTAATATATTAATCCAAAATTTTTATTAATTGATTATGGTGAAAACAATACCTCAGTCCCCGTATCTTGGTTAGATTTAATTTAATTGTTATTTTTCTTTTATTATTTTTTAGTTAAATTTTCTTCCTTTTTGATAATTTAAATAAATTTAGATTAATTATTTTAGTACTTAATTAAACACAATTCTCGTGGATACAATTCTCGTGGGTTCAACACTCTATTCATCATTATATTACTTAGAGCGACTAGTACACTTGTTAGAGTGATTTTAGTGCATCACTAATCATCATATAACAAGCAGTTATTACTTTGTTCAATTTCAATTGGCCTAGTTTGTAAAGATTAATTTTAAATGAAATTTTAACACAATATATAAATAAAAATTGATTTTTTTTAACTAAATGAAATTACTCAACAAAAACTCTATATATGAAAAGAAAAAATTAATTGCCATTCGTATATTTTATTAAATTTTCATGCGAAATTAATTTTTAAAAGGTTAAAAGATCAAACTATAACAATTAATGTTGTTGATGTCACACAAAGGTTACAAAAAGGTGCTAAAAAAAACCAAAAAAGAAAATAAATTATGCAACATCCTTCTAGACCACAAGCCCAGTTGTAAGCCAGTCTTCTTCTTCGTGACCATTTTTGCTAATATTTTTAAGAAAATAGGATTGATTTTTGGCTTTGTTGATGCATTTTGCATTATGTGTTTTGGCTTTTGAGTCAGCATGGCTGATAATAATGAAGTCACTGGAGTCATTGAAAGATGTTGGAGGATGATTAAAGTTGGAGCCGAGTCCTGGAGGTGATTTAACACTTGAAATCGCTAGATCTGAAACTTGAGCACTAAGAATAGATCTGGAATAAACAGTAAATCGGAGATCAGATTTGAATTTTAGAAGATGAACCAGGGCTGTACTACATTGCCGAACTAAATCAAAGCCACCTTATGCTGCTGAGTGTAATCGGAGTTCTGTAAATGGAACAAATTTTTCATCAAAAGTTTAATTTTGCTCCATTACAATTACTAGAATCTCGAAGATAACGATGATGACTTTTAATGATTTCATGGTGGATTTCCAAGTAATAGCAGAGAGCGAGGCTATTTAAATGGCACGAATATAGTAGAGTGTGACATTGATATTGGAGATTGAGAAGTGCGGAGAGATACGGACATTGGAATGGTTCAATATTTAACTACTACAGTATTTATATAGTCTGAGTCTGTTCATTAGCAGTTCTGAAAATATTTTATAGGCAAAATTCAATAAAGTTATAGGCTCAAATTTCTAGATATTATCTAGATAGTTCCTTTTAGGGATTAAAACAAGATGTTTTTGTAGATGCGAGGGTTCAAGGAAACCATTAGTGAGAGGCATATTCACGAACTCATGTCCCCCTCTCATTGCCATTGATAAAATATTGCTTGGATTTCAGCTAGCCTCAAGCTTTTAAGCCCCTTCATGGAAAAAGAAAAGCACCCCAAACCTTGTCCAAAGAAATTAGTCTCATAAGATGCTCTTATTCTGTTAGAGAAAAACTCAACTAGAAGTTGCCATATATGTACAAAGAAGTATTTCAATCCCAAGATGAGATTCAATCCACACATGATTTTTGAAACCAAAAAGTCTCTTCTACATGTAGAACACCTTAATATTCTTCAATGACCTTGTAAGAATGAAGAATGATCATAATTTTTTCAATTTAAATCCCTTCCAACCTTTTGCCTGTAACAATCTCTTCCTTCTGAATATGTCCCAAAATGAGATTTGTTCCATTCAAATGAGCATACCCTCACTAATTCAATTGCATGTGGCAGAGAATGAACATGAGGTCTCCATGCATTCATGAAGGTCTCACCAAAATCTTCCCTCATCAACCAAGTTGTTTTAAATTTTCGCAATTTATTGTTCGAGTTTACACTTAGTTCAATTTAAATGAGTAGAAGGTGGTGGTCATTGTAAACCTATATGAGGTTTATTAGATTAGGTTGTGGTAAGACCTTAATAGCATGCCAGTTGAAAAGGGCTCAATCTAGGCATTCTCTAAGCATTATTCTACCATGCTATTTTCGAACCCAAGTAAACATGTACCCCAACGCCTTAGTTGATGGTAGATGGCTAGCCTCTTAGTGTTCTTGGAAGCATTGTGCTCTAGAAAAAGTTTGATGAGATCTTACGGTGACTTCATCTTGTATAGCAACATCATTTGACCCCAATGGCAATCCAACTTCCCAAAGAAATTAAGAACTTGTTACCCATTGTAGATGGGTCCAAAAAATTGTTTTCATCTACGTGAAGTTGTACATAAGCAGAGGTTAGACGTCCCTTGTTAATCCCTAAGCCAATGGGATAGTGAATCATTTGCAAAGTTGATGAAATAATTGCAAGAACTATGGAGAAAGACTTCCAAAAGAGTAGAGGCCATCAGTGCACCTCTGAGAAAGAATCTAGAATTGTTTATCATATCCCAACTAAACCATAACCCCTAGTGCACCTTCTTTAGAATCAATTTTAGTTTCCAAGAAGCAAACAATATTAGGTTTCTGTGCTTTTAGATTTTCTTTGCATTCTTGACAAAAAAAATGGCCATTCTTGACAATGGAAGTAGATCTTATGTAAAGCCCTCATATTCAACAGGGATTAAGTACAGTGGAAGGACTTTAAGGTCAAGATCAACAAGTGATTGCAATGCTTTACTCAAGTTCACTTTTATGCAAACCCTAGCAAAGGTCACTTTGGTTTCTATAAATGGATCCAAATTGTTATCTTGGGCACCTTAACACGAGCAAGTTGAAAGTATGGTTCCCATGGTTCGACTATAAGGAAATGGTAAAAGATTTTATAAGGTCCATTGGTTAAGACCATCGAGCAATTGTGAGGGAATGAAAATTGTAACAACTCAAGCCAAAACTTGCCACTGGCTTAATAACTCTTCAATCAACTTGGGTCCAATGACCCTCAAAAGCTTAAGCTCAAGTTTTTTACAATGGTTGGTCATGATAATTATATATTAATCACACTCACAATGTTTGATGTCTTCATCGAGTCTAATCACAGTTAGAATGAGTCCCACTAAGTCATAAGCAAAAGATCCACTTCAAGTGATGTTTGTTCACACTATCACTAACCAAGATGGTTAGAATGGACCCACAACATTATGATACAAAATGACCCACGCTGAAATCCACCATTGGCTCAACAACTCTTCGAGCCAAGGTCAATGAGCTTCCATAAGCTGTTTATAGTGGTTGGTCATTATAATTATATACCAATTACACTCATAATTCCACTATTAGAAATTTGACTTTTTTTCAACCAACTATTTTCCAATGCTAAACATTGGAAATTAAAATTTGATGTAAAATATCTAAAATTTACAAATAATTTTGAAGTAAGACACATTTTTTAGTGCTAAGCGCTAGAAAATAATTTAGCATTATAATTTGGTTTGGTACCTTCTTGTTTTCCAGCACCCAACACTGGAAAATAATGTTTTTTTGTATTACTACTAATAAAGAAAATTTTCAAAAACAAAAGAAATATTTTTCACCTTTTTATTTAGAACCATCAAAGTTAAACGGTAGAAATGGGGTGCAAGTTATTTTCTAATGCTAAGCACTAGAAAATAACCCTACTTAAGTTGTATAGGTTATTTTCTAGCGCTTGACATTGGAAAATACTCCTTTTCAATTGATTCAAGTTAGAACCGTCAAAATTATATGGTAGATATTGGATGCAAGTTATTTTCTAGTGCTAAGTGCTAGAAAATAACCCTATCTAAGTTATATAGGTTATTTTCTAATGTTCGACACTAGAAAATACTCCTATCAAATTGGTTCGAGCTATTTTCTAGTGCCAAATGCTGGAAAATACACATGTCCAATTGGTTCAGGTTATTTTCTAGCGCTTGACACTGGAAAATAAGTTTGTTAAGAAGTTTAGAAATCAAATATTCAAGTATATTTTCTTTTAAAAATTCAAAATCTCACCTATCTTATTTTCCAATGCTTAGTGCTAGAAAATAATTTTATTTGAAATTTGAAGCCCAACATTCAAGCACCATTTTTTCCTCATAAAATTTTCAAAATCCCACCCACATTATTTGCCAACACTAAGCCGTGGAAAATAATGTTTATCTATATAAACCTCCAACCTTCCCTTCCTCAGCATTTTCTCTCATCTTTTTCTTTCTCTTTTATTTTTCTCCTCTCTTCCTTTACTTCACTCATATATTTCACTTTCTCATCTTAATCTTCCCTTTCCTCTTCTCTCATTTTCCTCTTCCTTTTCCTTTTCCATTTCATCTTCATTTCTTCTACTTTCCTCCTTGCTCTTCTCTTGTTCTCTCCATTCCTCTTCCTCTTCCTCTTCCTCTTCCTTTAATATGTTACTTTAAAAAAGATGTACTATATTTCAATTTATTGGTAGTTTAATTTTCAATTTTATTTATATTTTTCTTTATCAATAAACTCTCATAAATATTACAAATTAAATTTTTTTTATATATTTTAGGTGTTTTTATGAATTACATGGAATTGAATTATATTTATGTATTTAATTTCATTTATTTGGCAATATCTATTAAATTATATGCATTACATAATGTTTTATATAAGATTGTGTTTATAAAGTAAATATATTAAATACAATTATTTATGTATAATTAATTATAATATATTATAAAGTGATTTTTTATTATTAACATTTTATGTATTTAATTTCTTTATTTTTTATTATTATGTGTTGTATTTTTATTTAGTGTGTGTTTTAGATTTTTGTATATATAATCTTTTTTATATAATCTTGATTAATATATATAATATTATTTTATGG